AGTGCAAAAGCATACCCTTGCCTTTGGATCTGGCGGCGGTGCGGCCGGCGCGAGGCGTGCAATGGTTCACACAAATTGAGAGAGAAACAATGCGTCGGTCCGTGCGGGAGGTGGCGGCGACGTGGCGCGAGGCATGCAATGGAGAGAGGAACAATGCGCCAACCTTGAATATGGAGAAGTGGAATGGTGGTGCAACTGTGATGTGCGTAGTTGGGAAATTGGAAAATAACTCACGCTGAATTTACTATCGTCGGTAGACCAAACTGTTGTGTAGATCCAGTGGCCAGAACGCCTATCTCGTCGGCTCTGCTTTTCATGCGATAGAGAAAATACCACTGCCGCATCTACTGGTAACCCATGGGTGGTAGAAGTTTCAACTACCGGTTTCCTTCATCATGAGGCCTCGCTATCGGTCCAACCGGTGGTGGAAGTAAAACACAGTCGTTTCTATTGCTACGATAGTGAAAGTAGCGATAGTGATAAGTCAATCTTTAGTAGTGCCAGTAGGGTCCGGTCCACAGATAAGCGACACGTGGCCTCCCCGTTAAACCACAGCCGCTGAACTTCAATGACTAAATCAAACCGTGCGAAGTCAGCTACTCTAGACTAGATGCACCACCAGCGTCCAGACACTCTCACGCCCGTGAGTCCGGAGCAAAACAGATAGGTTCCTGAGCGCTTAAACTAAGGATGGCAATGGATCGGGTTTGGGGCGGATATCCGATGGTTTCGGGTTCTGCGGGTTCGGGTTTGGGGCTGGTTTTTCACCCACGGTTTTCGGGTTCGGAGCCCCGAAACCATTCGGGTTCGGTTTCGGGTTTGGTTTTCCACCCGTGGATATCCAATGGATATCCGAAATAAATCATTTGGAATTAAAACTCATGTTTTATAATATACTAATAATAATTTGTTTACTTAGATTATTAAATTTATTTAAAGTTGACTCATGAAAATATTTATTATTTGTTGCCTCTTGTTTATACATGTGAATATGTGTATATATATCCGTAGGTTTCGGGTATCCATTCGGGTTTCGGGTATCCGTTCGGGTTTCGGGTATCCGCGGGTTTGGTTTTGGTGATGGATTTCCAACCGAATCGGTTTTCGGGGCGGATTCGGGTTTCGATTTCGGGTTTCGGTTTTGGGTGCACGGAGACTTCACCCGATCCGAACCCGACCCGTTGCCATCCTTAGCTTAAACCGATAGGACAACGTCTGGTCCAAGTGACCGGACCCACGCCAGAGTTCGGTCAGCACAGCCACGTTCGCCCGTGCGCCTCAGACACCTCGACCGGACTCATGCGAAATACCACCATCGGGTCTGGTCATGCCGAGACCCAAGAGTCTGGTCGTGACAAAAAACACGCCGAGAGCTCCTAGGGACTTCGGACCAGGTCCGGTCCAATCGGCTAGACTCACTTCGCTGAGTTCGGAGCACCCCGTATAGCCACTTGTACATGCCACCAGGTCTAGCCAAGACCTTGGGTTAGTGACCGGACTCTGTCCCCCTAGGTCTGGTCTAGCCAAAACACAAGGTCCGGTCCCTCTCTTTACCTCCTTTTCAACTCCAACTTCTTCACCCTTGCTCCCAAGTGCTAAACACATTGTGTCTAACCATTGTGCACGTGTGTTAGCATATTTTCAAAGCATTTTCAATGGTGTTAAGTTAGAACACTAGGTCCTAATGCAAATGCAAGTGTTGATTCACCTAGTGGCACTGAGACAACCGTATTTGCATCGAGATCGCCCCTCTTAATAGTACGGCTATCTATCCTAAACCCACTCACACCCACTTGGTGTCTTGAGTAGCAAAACAAAATGGCCCTAACAAATATACCTTTGCCTTGAGCCCATTTTATTTTTCTCTTTCTTCTTTTCCAAGTTTAGAGCTTGATCATCATCACATGTCCACCATCATCACCAAGGACTTCATCTTGCTCCAACACTTGGCCTCGGACTATTCTTTCTAGTCTACACACTTGGGTCAAGCATTAGTCCAATGGGTTTCATCAATTAGCCAAACCCAAACTAGGGCTTTCTGACGGCTCTGTGGCTGCGGCGGCCGGTGTTTGGCCACATTTGCTCTGGACAGTGACCAATCTAGGATGAAAGTTCAGGGGCTGCAAGTTTATCTTCAATCTCCAGCCTATCCTCCTCAAATCAACCATTGCAAAAAAATTTGGAGGGACCCTAGGGGGCTTCATGGGATCAACGATGGTAGGGGGGCTTGAGCCCCCTCCCCGTCGCCACACCACTAGATCCATCTGTGGCTCTAGAGGCGGCAAGCGGGAGAAAACACACTTAGGATGTTACAGTAAGTAAGATTATGGTAGATTCTCCTGAGTTATTATTGTGTTTACGCAAGTCCTAATTCGGGTGTATGTAACTCAGGGCACCAATGCCTTTCGTTGAAGCTGGCATTTCAATGTGCTAGTGGGACTTTAGTGCCTAGTAGTTGCACAACATTTTGATTGAAAAGTGAACTCCTTAAACTAACGGGTGATTAGACTTTTCTGTTGCATTGTCCCTTCGCTACTTGTCTGTTGCATTCTCTAGAGAGTTAGCAGAAGTGTGCGGTCATAATGGATGACCATTAGCTTCCGCCCGACCTCGACTTGCAGCCTAGATTGGTGGTGCTTCCGCCCGACCTGCGGCCTAGATCGGTGGGCAGCAACATAGTCGTGTGACCAAGGCGGAGGCACAAGCCAAACGAGCACACCCACAAGTTGATCCGGCTGAGGAGATAACCCAAGAGCCTTTTGGCCCAAGGAAACTCAGATATCCAGTGGGAGGAGTTAGCGAGGTGCTACTTATTAATAATTCTACTTTTGATCTTGTCGTCTCAGTAAAAATAAGCTAATCATTGTCCTCCTTCTTGAAAGTACATGCAGCTGACTGTTGAGACCGGTATTGTGTACTCCGGGCAGCGATGCAGCGAAAAATTTTGAAGACTCTAACCGGTGACAAATCTAGGATGAAAGTTCAGGGGAGGCTGAAGTCGTCATCTTCAACCTCCAGCCTCTCCACCTCAAAGCAGTAGGGGGACTTGAGCCCCCCTGCTAGATCCGACCCTCAAACAAACCTACAACGATGTAGTCCAATTGAATTGCCCGAAGAAGAAGAGGAGGTATGCGTTCTTCGATGAAATGGAACAATTAATGAACTCACCTCTGCTTTCCTTTGATATGTATGCTGCTAAAGCATCCGCCGGTGAAGTTGGTTTTGGCTTTGGGTTTAGGGCCACCGGCGGAGAGGGCAGATTCGGTCTCGTCGAACACAACGACATCAAGTTGGGCTTCGGCGCCACCGGCGGAGAGGGCGACCTCAATGGACTGGGCACCGGCGCCACCGGCCAAGGCGATGGATTTGGTCTCGGTGACTTAGACAGTGGATTCGGCCTCGAGGATTTCAACCATAGCAGGTTCTGCCTCAACACCACAACCGGTTGCCTCAACCTCGGCGCTGACGACTTCCTAAGTGCTTACTACCACGCCACCCACCGATGCTGACCTTGTCTCCACCGTTGTCGTCGACCTCGACTTCGTCACTGGCGACTTCCTCAGTCATACTGGTGTTGAGCTCCCTGCCATAGATCCACCAGCTCTCGCCGCACCGAATGCTCGCCCTGCTGCCCCACCCACTGCTACTAACATCGTCGACATTAAGTTCCCTACCCCAGCTAACCTCCATCTTCTCGATAGGATCTAAATGGCTAGGCACTACAACACCACCAAAGAGGCGTTCATGGTGGCACGCGATAGCTTCGGCAACGATGCGTACGGCGAGGCTGACCGGCAATTCACGACCGTTGAGGACACCGGGGTGCGCTGTGAGTAGGCGTTCACCGACCGCCACCTCAAGTTCCTCTTGTACGAGCGGGAGAGGGGCTCACGTTACATCAGATTCTCTAAATCAAATTGTACAGTACAGAATAGAAAGTCTATTGAAGTTGCTCTAAGGCTGTCTCCAACAGGAGATGCATCAGGAGACCAAACCCAAAATGGGTCTCCAACAGAATACATATAGTCTCCAACAGAGTACCTATATGGAAGATCTATTTTGGGTGTCAGGAGAGGTATAACTAAATCTGAGTATTCTCTCTCCTGAATACCCATTTGCAGAAATATTCTCTTTTGGGTCTTGTTATTGAAGAAGACAAAAAATGGGTGTTGAATCATTTGTCTGTAGCGCTACCCAAACGTAGAATGGGTCTTGTATTTTTTGTAACGGTTGTTGGAGACGGTCTAAGAGATGAAATCACGGATTCGTGCTACTTGTGTCGCATGTCGTGGTTGCAAACCGCCCTTACTAAAAATCAAAACACCTGTTTTCATCATTAAAAAAGAGTAAAGTATATTTTTCAACCTTCAACTCGCATTGAAGTTCGATTTTCAACCTTCAACTATGAAACCGGGCAACTGACATCCTCTAACTATCAAAACTGAATAAATTTGGTCCTCAGCTGGTTTCAAAAGCGGGTTTCTATTTTTCTAATAATAATAAAATCCGGTTTGATCTCTAGAAGTGGCATCATTAATTTATTTTAAATTATAAAAGTATGAAACTAATTCATGTTTTCTTCTAAAAATGTCATATATGTTGATGCTATATTTAAAATTGTTTTAAATTTTGTACGAAATTTAATTTCGCAAGGAATTAAATTGTTCGCTTTCCATTTTTCCCATGACAGTTCCCTGCCTTCGTCTCCACGCCTGCAAATTCTCATATAGCATCAACATATATATAACATTTTTAGAAGAAAACATGAGATAGTTTCATATTTTTATAATTTAAAATAAATTAATTACGAACTTTTAGAGATCGAACCGGATTTTTATTATTATTAGAAAAAATAGAAAACTGCTTTTGAAACAGGTCAAGAACTAAATTTGTCTGGTTTATGTGAGTTGAAGGTTAAAAAATGTACTTTACCCTTAAAAAATCAAAACACCTCTTCCTCGATCCTCAATTGCTCATACAAGCACTCGATCCTCAATTCCTCATACAAGCACAGCTGCTGCTACTACAAACAGCCACGTCACCAGCAGGGGGCCTACCGTAGCTCGGTGCGACCCGCCGAGCACGAGCCAGGGGATGCCCGCGTCGTCGGTGCTGGGCCCAAGGGCGGCCCCGGAGCCCGTCTGCGGCGGGGACTGCGTCGGGGCGCCCGCCGGAGCTCCTCCCGCCGGCTGGTTGACGAGCACGTGCAGCTTCATCCCGCCCAGGCAGTGCAGCTGGTCGCCGCAGATGAAGTATCGGTCGCCGGGCGCCGTCAGCGGCACCGTCGTGTTGCCGTCGTTCTGGGACCGGAGCGCGTTCGCGGCGCTGCAGTTGTTGAACCCGGCCTCGTCGACTTCGTCCAGGGTGTGGTAGGTGGAGTACTGAAACACTGGATCAAGAGGGAACGAACGTACTTGTAAGCAAAAAATTATTGTGTGGTCTTAACACATGGATGCGTCTTGCACGATCAGGGACGTCGTCTGCTTTTGGTTTGCGATCGAACGGTGGCAAAGGAAACAAAACCTGAATTGCGACACATTTTGGCTCTTGTACGAGACAGAGCAGGGGATGATGTTGTACCTAGAACATCGCCGACGTTGAAGGTTTTGCCGTCGGCCCACGACGGCAAGTCGGCGCTGGGATCCCACCCCGCGCTGTTGCCGACGTTGTACGAGACCGCCTCGGCTCTCTGGGCCACGCCGTGGACGAGGAACAGGGCGCACAGAGCCAGAGCAAGGCGAGCTTGAGCCATGGTAGGCTCTCTGTGCAGTGCAGGGATCCAAGGTATCCATGCGTGCCAAAAAGGCCTGGATATATACGAAAACGGCATTTCTTGGTGAAGATTGGTTACCTAATCAGCTAATTTTTTCGAGCACGTTCTGAAAGGAACCAGCTGCTCTGCTCGGATGCTTCATGGTTGCACGCGAGGGAAGCAGCACAAGTCAGCGGCTGGCAGGGTTCCAATTGGGAAGGTGAAGCGGTCTTCTACTCGTCGTTTTGTACGATGGTTTTGATTTGAATAGGTGATGCCGGTGAGGAAACTGGGTGTGTTTGTTGAGGTTTGGTGGTGCATTCTTGCGTGCCGTTGGGTACTAGGTATTGGCAGTTAAGCAGCCTTGCTGACCTCGCTCGATCAAACCTTTGTGCGGAGAGATGATGTCATTCTCATGTCATGTTGTGTTCGGTGTTCCTTGCTTGAGCAGAAAATCTCCTTCGTGCTTGTGGTCTTGATTGAGATTGACTGTATCCAATCGGTGTTGGATGCGCGCTTGGTAAAATCTTGGGTTTGAGCAGAAGCCGTAAGTGTAAAGAACAAAATCTGCTGATTGTTTTCTACGTCACCCGCTCTAAATTATAAGATATTTTGATTTTTCTAGATAGATCAATAAATATATATATATATATATATTACTGTGTATTTAGAAAAACTAAAATATCAAATAATTTAGAATGGAGTGCTTTTCTAGGTCGTTCGGTTGACGGGCTTTGGAGTGCTCTCGAAAAGAGCAGCGTTCCTTTTTTGCCGTGCGCCGTGCGCGGACGGATCGGAGTGAGAGGCCCCCCCTGCTCACATGAGCTCGTAGTCGACTCGGGTGTCTTGGGTTGGGACGTCATACAAAATCTCCGCAACTGTGCAACAGTACGACGGCCGTTCAAAGACGAAGGAGAAAACGCTTTTTAATTGCCGGTCCCTATCAAAAAGTTGCATCCCTAAAGCTATAGTGCTGTGACCGGATCATTTTGTGGGCTAGGCCGGGTTTAGGTCGGGCCAAAAAAAAGCCTGGTTATTTTAGACTGAAAAATCCCGTCATGATCGTCCCATTGGGTAGGTCGGATCTAATTTTTCAGGTAGGCCTGGACAGGCCGCTCGGGTGTTTTATAGCGTAAAATAGACAAAAAATATTTCATGCCGAACTCATGCTAAGAAATTTTCTTCTAAGCAGCGAGATCTGTGCCTAGACCCTTTCCAATAAGCGGCCTGTTTGTTTGGCTGTGGCTTGTCGTAAATTATCGTAAATTTTCAGTCGGAACAGTATTTTTCTCTCACATAAACCAGTCAGCAGTACTTCTTCACGAACCAGCAACGATACGAACCAGCCAACCGAGTAGGATGAAGGTTCGTGGGCGAGATAAAACCCGTCGGACTCTGGGCTAGGCTCAATTTGATAAAGTCTAGTTGTCAAGGACGAAGTTTTATTTCTCAGTATAAGGAACAACAGAACTATATCGCGAGTAGCCAACAAATCACACCAAAAATACAGATTTGGACGTACAGTATTAACCTGCTACTGCTATGGTAGTGGCGTAGTAGGGCATACGGAATAGAGCGGATCAAACATGTGCAGGTCGGAGCCCGGCCGGCCGGGGACGCAGCAGAGAACGCACGAAACCAAATAGGAAATTCATGAAACCGCACTGCCTTTTCCCTAGCGGTCCTCAATTCAGCCCATCATCAGGACAGCGAGGCCCACGGCCGCGAACAGCAGGCCCGTCGCGAGGCGGGCCCCGGTGCCAGCCGCGCTCGAGTCCGACTGGCCCACGTCGGCCGTCGTCGTCGCGCCACCAGCCGCCGGCGTCGTGTTCATTGCCCGCATGGCGGGGCCGGCGCTGCTTCCGCTGTCGCTGCCGCCGGAGACGGTGATGGCGAGCTTCATCCCCGAGGCGCAGTGGCCGGCGGCGCCGCAGATGAAGTACCGGGTGCCCGGCTTGGTGAGCGGGACGGTGGTGCTCTGGTCCCGGTGCGACCGCAGCGGGTTGCTCGCCGAGCACGTGCTGTGGTCCGCCTCGCTCACCTCCAGCACCGAGTGCGATGAGCTGTACTGGAACGCTGCAAAAACCGGCAAGCCGCGGTCACAGGATTTCGTTCATGAGAAGATACCCGCGGACGAACGAACGTGCTACTGACATTACGAGAACATGCTGCATTGACAACATTGGCGACTACTGCATTGTATGTATCTGAATCTGATGACGAGCTTTATTTGGCACGTACAGAGCGTGTCGCCGATGGCGAACGACTTGCCCTTGGCCCAGGCAGTGTAGTCCACTCCGGGCTTCCACCCGGACGAGTCGCCGACCGTGTAGTCCTTTGCAGACGCCGGCACCAAAACGACGGCGACGAGGAGGACGATGGCCAGAAGCCGGCCGCGCGGAGTGCCAGCCATTTTGCTAGCGAGATGCTGGCGTAATATCGAAGCAGAGACGACGCCAAGATTGTAGGAGAGAGTGAGGGGAGTCAGGAAAGTGATCAATGGACAAGGCTGTTTAGGCGTTGATGAGAACGGTTCTTATATATATAGGCCAATCGGTGATCATCAGGCGTTGTTTAATTTTTGTCTCTGTGGGATATACGGATATTTCGTTAGTTATTACGGTAGTAGTAGTAGCCGCGGGGGGTGGCCGAATTTCGTTAATTGCGTACCGGCTTGTCGTGTCACTTTAATTTAGTGGCTTCCTTTGCCCCAGGGAAAAGAGAAGAAAGAGCCTGGAAATGATTAATGTATACCTAATACATAAAGGTGCACCACCGTATAAGTACTTATTAGTACTACTACTAGTAATAGTAAATAGACGATGATGGCTGAACAAAGCCAATAATTTGTCTACCGAATTATTTTTTTGGTAGAACATCGCCATTGAATGAGTTGCTTTGCTTATTACACAGGGAACATGGACAGCAACCTGGAACCTTTACCGTGGGTATTGCAACGGTATTATAGGGGAATCGAAAATTCACGAAAATGCCTTTTTTTTTGAACGAATATATAATTATAGTGAAAAAAAATACAAGGGCTATTGGTCTAGCACCAGCGCGGTTAAGGTTGTATATAGTTTGAAGACAAGGAGTGATTCTAGTTTTCTAGAACGCAATGTTTGGTTGAAAGAACGGAGACTGAGAGGATTCGTCACCATTAGGCATTTTTTAGCCGTCACAGGGATCTGCATGTCATACTCTCTCATCTTTTTCTTCATTTTTTCACACGTATCTGGCTTTATCCCATAACTATTGGCCACACCAACTGGTTTGTGATTCTAGTTTTCAGAACGCACTGTTTGGTTGAAAGACATGCCAATTCGTCTCTCAGGCATTTATTATCCAGGTTTCTTATTTGGTCACACAGATCTGGCTTTATCCCCGTAACTGGCCACACCAACTTTGTTAGCTACTGCCTCCGGACATGCCAACCCTCTGCTTATAGAGCTTGTTTGTTCGCTAAACCTTTGGCAAGTTCGGCGAGGAAAATTGAAGCTACACTTGTGGCAAAGTTTGATAAGAAAATGAGTCTATAACGTGTGGAACAATATGCTAAGAAAATGTTACAGTCGTAACTGTGGCAGCGAACCAAATAGCTGCTAGAAAAATTGTGGCATAAGGCATGGCACATTCTAGTCACGAACCAAACAGGCCCGCCCGCCCCGTCTACCACCGCATCGACCATCACCCACGCTTAGCCCTGTGCGTCGGCCCCTAGCCTTGTCCACCTGTCCACCGGGGCGGATGTCTCCCGTGTGCGTGCGTGGCGTGACGGAGCTTGCCGGTCTACACTAGGGTCGAGGCCACCCACCCACGCCTGGTGTGCACCCCGACATGGAGGCCGACCGCTGCCGCACCGACCACCGCCTGTTGCCAAGGCCACCGATGGTAGGAAACATCGTCAGGAGAGGACTAACGTGTACCATTGACTTCCAGGGGATTGGTGTATACTCGAATCTAGAGGAATATCTCTTTTGGGGACGACTTCATCCTTAATGTTCCTGACCAAAACACCTCGAGTCTGAAACTAAGTGACATATGACACATCTCACGTGTTCGGAATTAAATTGCATGGACCCTGGGTTCAAATCTGTCACATAGACCCGATGAACGATACGTAGCATCTTAAACTAACCATGCGGTCAACTATCAATTACATGCGATTGAACAAACGTGGGAGTTCGTGTGTGTGACCATGCAAAAATATCTACCTTAACAAATGGAAACGTTAATGCAATATTTGAGCCGAATCACTCTTATCTCTCAAGAGGTCCCTCGTCATGGAGCTCGCTACTACCGGATCGACATCCTAGGCCACACCACGACAAAATTCACAACAAAGATTTCAGCGAAGGACTTATTCGCTTCTCTTATAATCCGTCTTTTTCAGCTTATTTTTTCAACCGAAACAATATTTTTCTCTCACAACAAATTAGCCGGAACAGTGTTTCGGCTTGTTTTTTCAGCGAAGCAAATCCACAGACTAAACTCCCCTATCTAAGTGGTCTCATATAGACAACGCATCCCTTTCCTTTTGCAATGATAATACTTGACGATGCAACAAAAACAATAGACATTCCAGCAAACTGAAAAGCATAGTGCAACAAGCCCAAGACCATACAGAAATTGCAACAAATAAAAAAAAATTGCTGCAGCAGGCTTACAAATTCCAGAAAATTGGCAGCGCAACGGTACAAGTAGTATGCAATACACATGCAACCGAAATGATCTCGCGCTAGACAAGTAGATATCCCTAGCTATTCCAATCAACAAGCAAGCAATTTCATCCACCGCAACAAATCAAATTCTAAGTACAGAGGAAGAGAGAAAAATGGATGCTATGAAATCAGATCGGACCCTCCAAACATGAATTTTTTTCAAGTAATCCTCCATGCCCCGACTCTATAAAGATGGCCAGGGCGCTAACTTACAGGTGGTGTAGTCTCTTCGGAGACACTCGATAAAACTTAGGACTGTTTGGATCCATGGGCTAAAGT